TTCCAATATTCAGCAACAGACAGAACACTTATTACATAAATATAAATCAAACGATTAAACTTTACAAAAGGCCCAATTAAAACAATACAAAATATCTCAAAATTTTCTTACTAGCCCTGCCCCGGCTGCTCCAAATGCTTCTCCTCGGCCAACAGTCGCAACTCCAAAAGTCTCTCATTTGTTGGAACCTAATGAAAAGTTATGCTAATTTTTAAACTAGATTAGAAGCTACTATTTCCTGTACTGTAATCAGAGAAGAAACCAAAAAACAGCTAGAGAAATTACTTGCTTATGAGAATGCAAATCAGAAATGTCAAAGAGCTATAGCTGCAATTTGTGAGAGTAGGATTATTATTATTTGAAAGCTTGTTGAAATCTAGGATCAGAAACTCAAAAGATGCAAATGCTAGTTGAGGCAATGTCTGCTACCTTTAGAAAGGGAAATGAAGGATGCTTTAATTGTAGAGATAAAAATCACTTAAAAAGGGACGGCCCTAAGGAGGAATGCACTGGGCCAAAAGTTGTAAATTTAAATTTGATATTGATGGAAAACCTATTCCGAGAAACTCCAAACAGGGGATCCCCCAGGTCCCCTACAACAAAAACCAGGTTCCGGTCCATTGAAGGACCCCAACATCGTCTGAAATAAACATCTTAACAGAGTAACTATGACTGCTACCTTCAAATACAACAACAGTGCTGGTAATCAAGCAGATCATTATAACCGCCCTCAGTTCTGTTTGCTTGGACGATGGAGTTACATAACTCTTCCTGCATACAAGCCATACTACAAGCAAGTGATATAACATAGTACCTTTATTATCAAAGAAGAATGTATGGAATAGTAAGCATAACTTCAGATGGATATAGTGAGGAATAAGTGAAAGGTGTAGAAATACATCATTGAGTCAAATGTTCAAAAGTAAAGGTTAAGCATGTGTATGTATATGTGCATTTGTATATATTTTTATTTACAGTAAGTGTACTCACATACAGGCTTCCCTGATGGCTCAGCAGGTAAAGAACCCACCTGCCAATGCAGGAGGCAGAGGAGGTACAGGTTCAATCCCTGAGTCAGGAAGATTCCCCGGAAGTGAATATGTCAACCCACTCCAGTATTCTTGCCTGAAAAATCCCATGGACAGAGAAGCCTGGCAGGCTACAGTCCATGGGATGCAAAGAGTCGGATAGCACTGAGTGGCTATGCTGGCATACTCACATCAATAAGTGCCTAAACACAGACTTATTTAATTACATCTTACATGTTGAAAGGAAGCATAAGAAATTTTTGGAGAGAACAAAAATGAAAAAAAAAAAATGAACATTTGAGTTGACATAATCTTGAATGTACAATTTAGAAAACAAGATTTAAAAGTAATTGAATAATTTATATTTAATGATTTCTTTTCCAAAGCAACACATCAAAAGCATCTAATCTTGAGGCATGGTTACATTTGTGTAATGATACATTCTCTATCAACTATCCAAGCTATTTATATCCAAATTGTCTTTAGATTTCTACTGCTACTTGAGAGATGTAATACAAAATATCCTTACCCAAGGAAAACTAGAAGGATGAATAGTGATGTTTATCTCAATTTTCTGACAACGTTTTATTGGATAAATGTGTATATTAATATGTTCTTACTGCTGCTTTGAAAGTTTACCACATTACTGGCTTACATCAAACAAAGTTATGTTCTTATTAGACTAAAGTTCTAGGATAAGAAGCCTGAAGTGAGTCTCATTAGACTAAACCAAGATGTCAGCAGGGCTGCTTTCCTTCCAAAGACCCCAGGCAAAAATTAGTTTCTTTTCCTACTCCAGTTTCCAGTGGCCACCTGCATTCTTCAGCTAATGGTCTTTCCCCCATATTCAAGTTTCTTTCAGAGTAACATGCATTTGCCCCTTCTCTTTCACATTTAGGGGACAGTTGTGATTAATTTAGTCCCACCTACATAATAGTGGGACTGTGACTCACTACAGCCAGTGCTTGTCTAGGGAGGGTCAAAATCAAGACAGAATCTCAGTCTTGGATCCTGGAGAAAACTTTTATTCAAGCTAGAGTGAGGTAATGGGACTTTCAGGTTTATTCTTCTGGAAGACAGAAGAGATTGGGGGAAGGAGTAATAAACCCTGAATGCATCTGGCTTGTAACACTGTGCACTAGACACAGAGAATGAGCAGGCAAAACTTCCTATCTGTCCAGACCACTGCCCCCAGGGAAATCAGTTACTAGAGATGGTGGTAAGGAGAGGAAAATGGTAATGAGCAGACACGGGGAGCTGTAAATATCTCCTCTGCTGTATCCCTCAGCCCGTGCATCCTTGGCATGGACAAGACATGGATGCTGCTTCGGGTGTCATAACTGATACAGGGGACCAATGCTTGAGTCCATCCCACTGCTTTGTTGGGGAACAGAGCTTTTATCTACATCATCAACCACCAAAGAGGAATCTGAACACTCATGTCAAGACCTTTCTCTGAGAGACACCAACAGGTGAGTCTAAGAACCCAGAAATACTGAAGATGGTCAAAGGGAATAGCAACGTTTACCTGAGCTCATGAGAGCCAATCCAGACTAGCCCAAACCCAAAATTATTGTGTTTTTCCCCCCTGTGATTGATTAATACTTTAATTTATTAATTTGTGATGCCCAAAATACAAATGAATATAGAACTCAGCAATGTAAAAGTCAATGATGACTTTCGATGCCATGGACTATACAGTCCATGGAATTCTCCAGGCCAGAATACTGGAGTGGGTAATCTTTCCCTTCTCCAGGGGATCTTCCCAACCCAGGGATCGAATCCAGGTCTCTCACACTGTGGGCAGATTCTTTACTAACTGAGCCACAAAGGAAACCCAAGAATACTGGAGTGGGTAGCCTATGCCTTCTCTAGCGGATCTTTCTGACTCAGGAATTAAACCAGGGTTTCCTGCATTGCAGGCAGATTCTTTACCAACTGATTTATCAGGGAAGCCCAAAATGATGGACATGGAAGCTCAGTTAGAAGGGTGAATAGGACATGTAAAGTGCTTCCAGTATAAGCAGAACCCAATTAACTTTTAACTATAGTAGAAATATGGGGTATTAACAATGGAGTGTACAGAGATGCAACAACTTTTTTTGTTTTTTTTTTAAAATATGCAGCACACTTTACTATGATGAGAAAAATCCAGACCAAGGTATGTTAAAACATATTTCCTTGCAACAGCAGTTCATGAGACATAAATTTCTCAGTATCTCCTCTCTCAGTATTCAAATCAAAAAAATATTTATTATGAGAAAAGGTTGTGCTAATGAGTTTAATTTGTGATTGTTTTATTTCTTGTAAGGCTAAATACGTTTGTTGGTTAGTTAGTCAGTCCTTTTATTAAAAAAGTAGAACTATATATGCTTCCTTTGCCTCTGTATTGTGAATCAGCATGTTTTTATTCCTAGTTTTTATTTCATTCTTTAACGGGATTGGAATTTTTTCAAGTTCGTTGTTTGTCTTTTAGCTATTTTATGTACATATGCAAGAATTTGTGCAGAATGTTTGTCTCAGAGTTTATAAACTTTGTGTGGTAAAATCTCAGTATCATCTTATATTCTTCATTGCTGTATATTTTTTAACCGAAGGAAGAAGGCTGCCACTTAAATATTCTTTAGTTGCAAATCCTTGCTTTAAGCATAAATGAAAATGAATATTTTTCTGCATATACATCTTAATAAGTCATGCTTTTTATGGATGTCCAACTACTTTCCACATCTATTATCCCTTATTGTTTAATTGATTTTATTGTGATCAGATCTGTTCATGAAAGTTGTATCGTATTCAGCCACCATTTGTAAGACATTCTCCTTTGCATTTAACTACAGATAAATTTTATCTTCTGTACCTGTATTTGAATCTATATGTCTGTATGTGAGAGGAAATTATAACTTAGGTACTGCTTGCTCCTCACATTTTAAAAGTCTTTCTGTCATATTCCTTCACATCCAAATCTTTGCAATCTAACATTGAATTAGTGACCCTCAGGGATATCATTAAGTTGTGACTGGTGTATATCATTTCTTTAAAAATTTAGTTTTGTATTTCCCTTCAATTTTTGTTCAGACTAGGCTTTTTAAAGTATGAAATTTCCTGAAGTCCTGAAGATACTTTTTATGGGCAAGGGCCCCCTGTGACTTGAAGTTTCAGCAACAGCATGGAGGCCACCTTTTCCCTCAACATCTTCTGACATTATCTCTCCTCACTCTCCCTCCTGCTCATTTCCTCACCAGACTGGCTTCCGTTTATCCACTGGAGCATCTTGAACAAACCTCTTCCTCGGGGTCTTCACACTAACCGTTCCTTTATTATGATACCCTTCCCCAAATGTGCTCACAGTAGTGACACTTGAAGTCTATTTGAATATCTTCTTTGCAAGTCTTGCCTAAATTTGCATAAAAACCATACTCTATTTTTGCTCTCTCTTTGTACCTGCTTCCTTCGTAACATCTATAACCAAAAGACATCATATGTGTGTGTGTGTTTATTTCCATATCAACTTTTTTATTTGCTTGTATTCTGTCTCCACAACCAGATTTTAGTAGCTTTTGTTTTTTGGCACTCTAAACTCCTTGCTTGCATAGTAGCTGGAATATTGTCACAATTCACTTTCTATTCCTCAAATGCATGACAGAAGTAATTTTATTAAAACTGTACTATACATGACATCCTGGGGGAAACTGACAGTTGGACAAGTTTGTTAATTAGAGGTGACACAAGAGGTGCCCTCAAGTGCACAAAATTCATGGACAAAATGTTAAAAGTAATTTATTGATGGAAATGTAAATAGTAGCATTTATACCTTATGAGTAATGCCCATTTGTGTGAAAATAAGTCATGTTATTTAGCCATTTTTTTCATAGTCACCACCACCACATGGCACCAAGGAACCTAACAGGTGTTTCCAAGTTTCTTCTTCTGGGATTTTCAGAAGAACCAGAATTGCAACCCTTCATATTTGAGCTTTTCCTCTCCATGTACCTGATCACTGTGTTTGGAAACCTGCTCATTATTCTGGCTGTCAGTTCAAATCTCCACCTCCACACCCCCATGTACTTCTTTCTTTCCAACCTGTCCTTTGTAGACATCTGTTTCACCTCCACCACCATCCCAAAGATGCTGGTGAATATACAGACAAAGAGCAAAGTTATAACCTATGAAGGCTGCATCACCCAGATGTATTTCTTCACACTTTTTGCAGGACTGGACATCTTGCTCCTAACAGTGATGGCCTATGATCGCTTCATGGCCATCTGTCACCCCCTGCACTACATGGTCATCATGAACCCCCAGCTCTGCAAACTGTTGGTGCTGGTGTCCTGGGTCATGAGTGCCCTGCATTCCTTGTTAGAAAGCTTAATGGTGTTGCGACTGTCCTTCTGTACCTTGTTAGAAATTCCTCACTTTTTCTGTGAACTCAATCAGATGATCCAATTTGCCAGTTCTGACACCTTTCTCAACAATGTGGTGATGTACTCTGGAGCTGTGTTGCTGGCTGGTGGTTCCCTCACATGTATCCTTTACTCTTACTCTAAGATAATTTCCTCCATATATGGAATCACATCATCTCAGGGGAAGTATAGAGCATTTTCTACCTGTGCATCTCACCTTTCCATTGTTTCCTTATTTTATTGTACGGGTTTAGGAGTGTACCTTAGCTCTGCCAGTACCAACAGTTCACACTCAAGTGCAACAGCCTCGGTGATGTACACTGTGGTCACACCCATGCTGAACCCCTTTATCTACAGTCTGAGAAATAAAGACTTAAAGAAGGGTCTGAAAATACTCTTTGGAAAGGTGACTCTAAAAGGGCCATTGTCCTAGGGCATAAGAAGTGCCCTGGATAGCAGAGCTCAAAGCAAGCCAAAAGTTTTTCCAGTCTTTGCTTAGACTGTGGACATAGAACATGTCTCTTCCAATTTTATTGGAATTTCTATTTTTATTTCAAATTTTCTATACAGTTTATTCAACTCACTTTTAAGCTTTGTGATATCTCTATTATCCAAATGGTATTCCCAACCTTGAACATGAAATATTTGATTTATTTTCAAACAAAATAAATCACACCATGTATTTTTTTTTTTTCATGGTAATAGTAGCTGTACTACTCCTATGGGGAGGAAACTCCTCTTGGCAAGATAGCTATTTATATAACAAATTACAGAGAAGAATTTGAGACCATTCTTTATCACTTTTGTGAACATCATTCTTTGCACATCATTACCTTAATTTCTCTTCCTGATAATCCAAACTTTAACATACTGGATATTATCACTGGTCATGTTCTTTTTCTACTCATTAGGCTCTGGTACATGGCTTATGCCAACTGTGTCTACCATAGTTGCTGGAAAAATTTGGTAATAAAATACATGTCTTCAAGTGGATAATAAAATACATGTCTTCAAGTGGAATCTACAGCAAAAGACAAATATAGGAAAAATATTGAAATAATATGACCAGGCAGTAGAGTTGATCTTCAGTAAAATGAAGGAAAATATACAATCATTCATTTATTACTCTGCAGATATTGTCAGGCAGTTCAGAATTTTTCTTTTTCGACTCTATTTCAATGAGTTTTCCATTCACTGAAATACGGACTTTCGGTGTCCATTTGTAAGGTGTAAGCTGAAGGACTGGAAGTATGCTTTCATTTTTTATTAAATTATTTTTCTCGTCTCTGCCTAAAAATTTCCAATACTTACATAAAATATTACTTTCTATGTCTCTAAATGAAATTTCTCCCATTATTCAATGTATTGTCATAACTAATGAACAGGGCAGTAAATGAACATCAATGCCATCCATTATGTACCATCTTCATAATCAAGGCATGACTCAGTATGAAACAAATTCTTGATTCAGGGTCACTGGTGTTGTGAAAACACCCATGTCCTTCCAATCTCCTGCTGTGACCTCAAAACAACATCAATGAGTCACTTTTTCATACAGTTATATGAAATAAACTTGAATAACAACGTTCATGAATGTTGTCTTCAAATATCAAAACAAATGCCTAGAGCATGAAGAATTAGATTATTAAGATTGCCCTCAGTTCTATCCAATTTGACTCTTTTATCAGTTAGTTATTGCTGCATACAACTTTTCTAAAATAAAATTGTTTAATAAAATATCTTTATTATCATATGGGATGGTCAGCTTGGAGTTGTATTGATCTCTTCAGGTTTCTCATGAGACTGTAGTCAGACATGAATCTCTTTATTGTGTTTCTAAGCCTCATCCATGATGATGTGTGTAGCTATACTGCTCTTTCGACTTGAACCAATCTATGTTTTTATACCTATGTAAGTTAATATTCTAGTTTGCAATGAAAATTTGCTTATTAATTCCACTATTTCAATATTCACATATAGAATTCTTTTTTCCCAGTTCGAAGAGATATGCCCTGCCCCTGTTAGGTGTGACTCAACTTCCTGGGCTTCAGACCCTAATCCAGCATGCGCACTAGAACTTTTAAATTTTAATACCTTAATTAAAGCATTATTGCATATAATAAACTATGTCCATTAAAGTGTACAAATTGAAGAATTCCAAAACAGATGGCCAGTCCAGGTTGGATGCATGAGACAAGTGCTCAGGGCTGGTGCACTGGGATGATCCAGAGGGATGGGATGAGGAGGGAGGTGGGAGGGGGGTTCAGGATGGGGAACACATGTAAATCCATGGCTGATTCATATCAATGTATGGCAAAAACCACTACAATATTGTGAAGTAATTAGGTTCCAACTAATAAAAATAAATGAAAAAAAATTAAGAGTACTCATTGCCTGGTTCCATTTACATATATCTTGAGAAGGTGTACAATAGTTTTATGTTTTGTGTGGTACAGTGGTAAAAGAATCCACCAGCCAATGCAGGAGACAGAGGAGATGCAGTTTCAAGCCCTGGGTCAAGAAGATCCCTTGCAGTAGGAAATGGCAATCCACTGCAGTATTCTTGCCTGGGAAATCCCATGGACAGAGGAGCCTGGCAGGCTACAGTCCATGGGGTCGAAAAGAGTCAGACACAACTGAACGACTGAGCAAGTACACATGTAGTTGCTACAAGTGTATCCCCACAGATTTCTTCCTTGTTTCTGAAGGCAGTGCAGAATAATAAAAATAACTTTTGAGAGGGGGTGTGAGAAAACATGAAATGTATAAAAATAGTATAGTTGAAAGAATGTATTCAAAGCATAAGGAGTGTGTATTATTATTCATATTTGTATTATTTGTATTCCTATGATTCATATATATATTTCTCTTAAACCCACACAGGTACATGTACATACACACACATATTCATTTATAATCCCATTTATTATGCTGAAAAATAACTTTACATAAAATTGAAGGGTAAAGAAGTGAAAATAATAGATGTTTGAATTAATATGAAATTCAAGGAGGGAAGCCCATGGTGGCTTAGTGATAAAGAATCTGCATACCAATGTAGGAGACATAGGTTTGATTCATGGGTCTGGAAAATCTCCTGTAGAAGGCAATGGCAATTTACTCCAGTATTCTTGCCTGGCAAATCCCATGGACAGAGGAGCCTGGCAGGCTACAGTCCATAGGGTCTCAAAAGAGTTGTATACATGGCAGCTAAACAACAGCAATAAAAGAATGTAGAAATTCAGAAAAAAAATTATTAAATAGCATGTGTGACCTTATTTTGATATGAAGTACTTTTCCTATCTTAAGTTCTCAAGACAGACCCACATTTATGTTTCTGCAACATGAAATTCAATGTACCAACAAATGAGGCAACTATTTACAAATTGATTCTAATTTTTTTCTCCTACTAAAATGGGATTTCAATACAAATACCTTTATCCAGAGGAAACTAAGTGACTGAATTAAAAAGTTAAAATTCAATTTCAGAGAACTGAATTTATTAGATAAACATGTGTGTTACATCCCTATTGCTGCAATAAGGCATTACTACCCTAGCGATTTTTTTGAGATCAGAAGTTGATATTCCTTCTAACTGGACTGAATAGAAGATGTCTGCTAAAACTGGGATCCACCTGGACACTCCAGGGAAGAATGCATTGCCTTCTTAGACCCCTTTCTAAGGGCACCTGAATTCCTTGTCTCATGGTCCTTTCTCCATCTTCGAAGTCAGCAATATAGCATCTTCAAATCTGACCCTGACTCCAGTTCTTATTCTCTCCTCCATATTTATAGAACCATTGAAATTACCTTATATCAGCCTGGCTTTTTTGTTGCTGTTCAGTCGCTAAGACATGTCCAACTCTTTGTGACCCTGTGGACTGCAGCACACCAGGCTCCTCTGTCCTCCACTGTCTCCCAGAGTTTGTCATATTCCTAGCCATTGAATCAGTGATGCCATCCAACCACTTCATTCTCTGTTGCTCCTTTCTCCTTTTGCCTTCAAGCTTTCCAACTATCAGGAGTCAGCTCTTCACATGAGTCACAATGACTCACATGAGTCAGCTCTTCACATCAGGTAGCCAAAGTATTGGGGCTTCAACTTCAGCATCACTGCTTGAAAGCACTGAATGTTCAGGGCTGATTTCCTTTAGGATTGACTGGACAAGCTAATCTTTTCATTTTAAAGTCAATGATTAACAAATTTATTTTATATGCTAGCTGTTCTCCCCTTTATATAAGCTGACATGTTTAAAGATCTTGGAATTAGGATATGGACATCTTCTAGAGACACTTATTCTGCCTACTTCAAAGTCTTTTATCTGATGTTTACTATTTGATGTCATTCAAGACCCCTTATGTAAAGAGTTAAATACAGTCTATTGCAGCCTCTGTAGTCAGTGAATTTTTTTTCTTTCAAAATTACATACAAAAATCATTTTTGGTAGAGAAGACATAAACTTAACTGTATCTGACTCTAACACAGGACCAGAGCCTTGTTAGTCAAAGTGTGACCAACGTACTAGGACCTGTAGCATCACAGCTTCTAGTGGCTGTTAGAAATGTAGCCCTTGGGCCCACTGAAAGCCTACCTCCTCAATCAAAATTTGTGCTTGGATCCTTGGTGACTTGTATGCACACTAAAGGTGGAGAAGTGTTGGTGTAAAATGAGATTTCTCATCTTCTAGCTGTTAATATTTGGGACAGAATAATTACTTCTCTCGGATGCTGTTCTGTGTATGGACAGTATTTAGCCACATCCTTTCTGACATTGCCACATATTCCCAGAAGCAAAACCACCTCTGGTTGAGAACAACGACCCTGAGCTTGAGAACTGTAAACCTTCTAATAGAATTCCAATCAAGACTCCCTCCCAAAACTGGTTTGTAATTTTCAGCAGAATGTTAAATAACCACCTACAATGAGGAATGAAGTACATAATGGTATACTTCCCAGAAGACTTCTCTAAAAATGAGATTAGATAATCCTTGTAGTGTGCTAATGGAGGTTATGGCACTTAAACCATCTAAATATTAATATATCTCACAACTTACACACAGTTTGTACCTATTAGCTTCACACATAAGCTTGAAGTTACTAATGTTTTAGCAAAAGTGTCAGGAAGCCAAGGAATGCACTGCCCAATGTTTTACATTAAATGGACAAAGTTGTTCCTCTTATAAGGAGGGGCTAATGACTTTCTAAGGGTATCATGGGCTGTGTCCCCACCATATGTCAATGCTTCAGTTATACAAGGGACATAGTGAAGACAGTTGCTTCAGTCTCACATGCTGGAGAAAACTTAAATTCAGGGATGAGATAAGGTGCAGGCAGGAGAATTAATGGACAAAGATTAATAAAAAACTGAATTCTCTTGCCTTATAATCTGATCTTCAGAGAACACAGAATCAATTGGAAAAAAAAAAACCTTTCTGT